GTGGGAGGTGGTGGTTGGGGGGGTACCAAAAGATATGATAAAATACATTATTAAAGGGGTCAACAAATTGATTTCTGGCAACTGGCTAGAGAAGCGGCCTGACTCTGCAGAACTGGAAAGAGAGATGGTATCCACCAGCCTGGTTCCTTCCACATTTCCAGCAATATAGCACACAACATTAATTCTCTTTACATAAAGACAAATGAAAGCAGGCGGGCAATGCATCAGGAGCAGACCAGAGAGCACACGCTGATGGTGAGCAATGAAGCTTCCAGGGGAAGTCACCGCCCTGGAATCTGGCCTCAGAGCAGCATTCAGATGCTAATGTCAAGGCGTGTCTAGAAGAGGGCGAGAGCAAGGATGGGCTGAGAAGACAATGCTCATGCCTCTCTTTGCAAGGGTTCCAAGTTTCCTTCTTCAGTCCAAGCCACAGGGCTGGCGCATTATGAGTTAGTCCATGGCTCAAAACCAAAGGAAGAAACCACAAGTTTCCCAGAGAAGATTCAACTGATCAGACCGGGATGAAATGTGTAACTTGATGTGGGTGAGCGAGGCTTGGTAGGAGCCTGGAGGACCTGGGTGTGGGTGTCATCTGTGGGTCACTCTTGGGAGACCCCACTTGGTTTCCCTCCCGTGCCTCCTCCTGGGGCTGGGGCTGACAGCAGACTGTTTTCATTTGGAATTGCTGCCCAGTGGGCAAGTCTGCCTTTGTTTCTTGACTAGGAATGGCTTAATCTTTGAAGTCTTAAAGGAGGCTCAGTCCCAAATTCCTTTTACAACACTGGTTTTATGCTGTTAGCCCTAAAATTCCTTGAATTTTGTAGACAAAAATAATTTTGCTTCTCTCAACAATCATGTTTTGTTCTGTTGTGCATTGAGTTCGCTATGGGTCAGAAACAGATCAATGGCACCTAATGACAATCCCTGCCACCACCACCCTCCACACGTACATAGCACAGAGTGCAGGCCGCCGGGGACAACAAGCCTTCAAAAATTCCAAACCTCTTGCAGCCGCCAGGTGCCCCATTGTTTAACCAAATTTACAAAGAAATTCATACTGGACAAATTGTCAAGCCTTTGGTGAGAGTCTATGGAGTTTGGGTTTCATTTTTTTTCAGTGGCCAAACACAGCCTCTGGAGACGGGCTCCGAATGATCGGTCCTTGGGCATCCTGGGCCCAGAATCTCATTTGGAGCTCTCCAAAAAAAGTGGTTCTTCAGCGCAAGGCTCCTCCCTGCACTGTACTGCTTTCTCTGGTCCTGAAGCATGCTGCTCCCAACATCCCGAGTGGTCCGGTCTGTGAAATGGGACCATGTTATAGCCACGGAAGCAGGGCAGAGACCAGCTTGTTCACGTTAGCATCCAAAGGCTCCCGCCTGCAAACGCTTTTTAAAATACAGGCCAAAACGAAGAACCTTGAAGGGAAAAATCCCCCTCATGGAAGAGCATTGATTGTTTCCTGGGGCAATGTGCAGGGGGTGTCCACTTGTGGATTCTGTCAGGGGCTTAGGGGACGGAGAAGCTCGCGGTCAACATAAGACCAAAACGGCCCAGTGCTTTGAAGGCGGTGTAATGAGAGCTGTGGGGAAGTTACTGATCCATGCCCTGTCATTCCACTTCTTGGACAGAGTACGGTAATGCTACTTCCCTAAGGAAGTCCAGTGGGGTCACCGAGGGACTTGCAGCGCCCAGGCATGTAGCAAACCTACATTCTGGAGAAGGAAAAGGTCTGCCCGGAAATCCAGAACCGTGGAAAGGAAGGAGAGAGGCAAACTCCTGCAGAGCCCACACTTCAGCTTCTCTGGGTCACAGTGCAAGTGATCAGAGAGCAGGGGAAGTGGGGACGCGTGATAAATAAATGCACCTTTTCCTCTGCCGCTGTTGCTGCGGCTGTTAGGTAACATCAAGTCAGTTCCAACCCCTAATGACCCTCACAAACCACCCCAGGCTCCCTGTCATCAGGTGGAGTCTGGCTCGGCTACCCTATACACAACAACATAAGCACCGCCCAGTCCGGTACCTGCTCACCTTGCTGGAGTCCACGGTTGCAACCACTGTGTCAATCCATCCTGTTGCAGGTCTCCCTCTTTTGCAACGATCCTCCCCCTTTACCAGGCAAGACGCCTTTCTCTCGGCCCTCCTGCCTCCCCAGGAGCCTGCCAAGGAGCTTTCTTTCGGACTATACTTTTTCCAACACAGATGGTTCATTCTTCAAGAAGTCCATGGCATGTGTATGTACACTAGTCTGTTCCAATACCATAATTCAAAAGCATAAATCCTTAAGTCTTCTTTATTCGTTGTCTAGTTTTTGCATGTGTATCAGGCTATTGAAAATACCATGGCTTGGGTCACACACACCTGAGTCCTCCTCCCTCATAAATATTTAAAAGAGGCTTTCTACAACAGATCTCCCTGTGGAATTTATCGTTTGATTTCCTGTCTTCTTCCATGGACACTGATTGTGGATCCAAGTAAAATGAACTTGACAAGAATAATGCTTTCTCTAGTTACCATCATAGTGTTTAGCGATCTAGTTAAGCAGACTTTTGTTTGCTTTATAGAAACACGTACACAGTTGTACACGTATCCATCTTTTCTGTCCTTCACTCATTTGTTAGTCATTAATACTACGGGGGCTTGTATATTGACATGATGCTGAAAAGTACGTCTGCACACTTTCAAATGCGCAGAGGGTCACCCCCATGGGCAGGCGGCGGTGAAGTCTCCAGTCGACGTGTAAGAAGAGAGGCATCTGCTTCCAAGCACTGAAAACCTTATGGATTCGCAGAGAACAGCATTCAAGCTAAGCGCCAGCAAGACGGCGCGGGACTCACCAACATCTCGTTCTGTAGTGAACAAGGTTGTCACGAGTCAGAGCCCACTCAAGCCAAACGTGCATGTGCATGTAATCGTACCAACGGGGGCTACTCTACTAAGCACCTAGGCAAACAACCTGGGCTCAAGCAAGCAACCCTGTAAGGGAAGTATTAACGACCTCAGAGTCCTCAAACCTGCTACCCTGCAAAAGCCGTGCTCATCAAAATACTTGCTCCCTATGGTGGTACCTCAAACAAATGGGACTAGAAGTCCCACACGATCCAACAATCCCGCTGTTGGCTGTGTACCCTAAAGAAGGAAGAGGCAGGACACAAACAGACGTATGCACTCCCGTGTTCATCGCAGCACTGTTCACAATAGTAAGAAGTCGGAAACACCCACTAATAGAAGGATCACAAAAAACAAAAGAAAACCTTGGTACAGACACACAATGGAGTAGTATGCATCACTGACAAATGATGATGAAATCACAGCGCCCTCCTGCCATGGACAGAACTGGAGAACGCTATGCTGAGCACAGTGAGTGAACCACACAAGGACAACTGCTGTCTGAGACCACCACTATGAGATGCGGAACCCAGACAAAGCCTTGCACACCCAAGGGAAGAGGCTCTGGAGCGTCCCAAGGGCGGGGGGAGAGGGGAAGGATGGGGAGATGAAGCAATGGACTGGACGGCTGACAGGTACTGACTTGGGGGAAAGGAAGGAAGGAGGCCTATCAGCGGGAGATGAGAAATCGGAGTCGGGTTTAAGGGCCGGGTGTTGCTGAGTGGTGGAATGTAGAGCTCATGGTCTGAAATGTAAATCCCCTTCACCTAATTCACAGGAAAAATTCAGCTTAAACAAATGTGCTCTCAAATTTGAAAATGGCTAAAGTGCTTTAATATATACTTAAATGTAGTATTATTTAGCTATACAAGACAGACTACTTGAATAGATAGTGTGGTATTTACATAATCTGTTGACTTGTGAAAGGGGTGGGGTTTAGCCTGTCAATCAGGTCGTAGGTTGATGACCTCGTTTGGAGGCACTATGGAGATAAATAGTTCAAGGAGGTGGTACACAGAGACTCTCCCTGTGAGACATTCCTATTGACAAGCCAGATGGAGCTACACTGATGCAGCTAGAGCCCTGCAGCTGGAAGAGCCACATGGAGACCCATGCCAGCGCTGAGATGCTTCCACTGCCACTGGATCCACAAGACTTTCCACACACTGGCCTGTGATGTTCCTGCACTCCGCATCATTGCATGTGTTGTGTGAGTCTGAAGAGGAAATTATAGACTGGTATTGGACATATGGGCTAATATCGGACTTATGGACATGATCTGGACTGGGCTGGGATGGTTCTCAATATACAATTGCTCTTTTATAGAAAGCTTTATACATACATATGAGTATCCATGAATTTGTTTCTCTAGTCTACCCAGACTAACACAAATGGCATCAACATTTTTCACACAAACACAAAAAAAGTTTTCTCTCTTTAAATTTATCTTCTTTTAATTTTTTTTTAATCCTAAATTCAAACAATAGAGTTCCTTTAAGGCCACATGAACCAGATGTCACGTGGATATTCCTCCCAGGAATTCATGCCGCCTGAATAAACATGAAGACGTGCTCTCTTCTGCCATGTTCTCATGTGAGCGGGCCTTTCTACGGACCTACTTCCCCCGTGCCCACCCCTGTCTTGTACACGTCTGATGTTCAGGGAAGCGGGGGGGTGGGGGGGTGGGGGGGAGGTTATTGAGCCCCTGTATAGTGGACCTTGGGTTCTCTAGGAAAGCCCAATTACGAATCATTTGTTCTGTTGCCGGACAACATTGGTGTATGAGATCCTAACATCTGATGTAGCAAACCATTTAGGACAGTCACAGACAAGGACAGGATCTGAGGGCAATCTCAGTTTTCTCATGAAAAAAAAGAGATTATGAAATCCAAATCCGACTTGCTGCTATAAAGACAGCAGCTTTGGGAACCCTGTGGGGTAGCTCTACTCTCTTGGCGAGTGGCTCTGAATGGGAATTGACTAGACAGCCATGGGTGACAGACAGCACCTTGAGTTCAGTGACATCACATGAACAGAGATGATATTCACTCCATGTCCAAGAAAAAACAGGCTCAACAGAGTCATGAAGTAACCCCGATCGCACCCCGACGTACCTGGGCTGGTTCTCGCCAGTCGGGTTCTCCCCCCGCTGGTAGCCACTGTCGGCTACCTGGGTGGTGGACCGCTTCACAATCTGCTGCAGCTCCTGCTCCAAGTGCTCCTTGATGGCCTTCCCCGTCTCCGGGATCTTCCTCAGCTTGGCCAGCGCCTTGATGAGGATGCCCATGAAGAGGGGGCTGTTCTCCTCGGGATCCAGCTCCAATTCCTCCTTCACCTCCTGCAGGCTCACCTCCCCCCGCGCTGAAAAGCAAACCAGACAACAGACTGAGAGGCCACAAGGAGACGCAAAGGCACACAGAGGCACGAGTGTGTGGGATCGCTGCTTTGATTACACGTACATGGGAATCCGAGGATTTTTCAATTGAAAGTCTAATTAGGCTACAGTCATGTAGCGACTCCCCAAGAATCACACAGTAACAGTTACATCCTTCAAATCTTTGCCCAGCCATTAGTAATCAGGCAGAAGGAAGTAAAAACGAGTAAGCAACTCTCCATGGGCAGCTTTTTTTTCGGTTTGGTTTGGTTTTGCAGATGGCCATTTCAGCAGGAGTCCGCCAGCTCACGGCACTCGGGAAGCACTCCCTGTTGACGGAATGCCACGCTGGGTGATCTGGGAGAGGGTGGAAGAGCCAGACCCTAGTCTCAAGCTTCTGTTAATGAGTAACTAAGGTTAGGCACCCTTACTAAGGAATCAAAAGGAATTTGAGATCAGCTATTAAGAATGAGCAAGGAGCCCTGAGGTAAGCCCTGTTGGGTAAGCAGGGGACTGCCAACTCCAAGGTTGACGGTTCAAACCCACCAGCCTCTCAGTGGGAGCACAATGAGGCCGGCTGCTACCATCAAGGCTGACAGCCTTGGTATCACCTCCACACTTTGTCCTAGAGGGTTGCTATGAGTCGGAATTAACTTGAAGGCAGTGAGTAAGGATAACACCTGGAGCAAAAGCCACTATAAATGCATCCTGCAAGAGCAGACCCACGATGAAGCCAGATGTTGTAACCAGTCTTTATTTGAAGAAGAAGCCCAAAATTGCAGCCAGCACCAGTGCCCCAGTAAGATTAAGGCGTAATGACTGCTGGTTTTCTTTCTTGAGATGGAGGGCAGGGAGCCTGCTCTGAAGCCGTCCAGCCCCTGCAACAGTGCTGACATCTGTTTGGGGAAGAATGCCAGTGCCAGCACCTGCAGGGAGGGAGCCTGGTAGAGGGGCTGCATCAAATCCCTACAGATTCCACTTCAGGGGACACTGAACCCCGTCTCTTTTCTTCCTCCCAATTCATAACATTGGACCTAAATGTGAACCAAAGCACTTACTGACACAGACGACCTGTTTGTTGATGGAGATGTGTTCCTATATGCTTAAGTCCCCTAACTATCTATCATGTGGTTGGTAGCTCACACTCGCCAGGCCCCTGAAACCCATAGGGAGAAAAGGGCATTAAGAATGACCAAACCCAGAGAGTCTTAGAAATGTAGATTGTGGTTGATTACATGGTATATGATTTAAAATAAACAATTTCAAAACCAAACTCACTGCCATCAAGTTGATGCTGACCCACAGTAAGCCTACAGGGCAGAGTAGAACTGCCCCTGTGGGTTTTTGAGACTGTGACTCTTTATGGGAATAGAAAGCTTCATTTTTCTCACACAGAGCAGCTGATGGATTCAAACTGCTGACCTTGCAGTTAGCAGCCCAGAGCGTAACCACTATGCCACCAGGGCTCTTCACGGTACATAATATCTTCTAAAAATAATCAGAGCAAAACTGAAAGAAGATGCAAGAAGCCTTAAGCCTCCAAAGGTGACATGACAATTCTGGATGGAAATGGAATAGTCTTTGCTATCTCCAAAGGTGGCATCCCCTAAATGGCCATTGCCATCCCTGGCAGAACATGTTCATCCAAGCAACACTAACCCCGAGTGGGGAGGAAACCGTTCCGGAACCTTTGAGATGCAGCACATCTGGGGGGTGGGGCAGATGCAAGTAAGCAGATGCAGGTTAAGACATGGACAGGGCCCAGGCAAGGGGCCACCTGAGTGTCCCAGCTCTCTGTCAGAAGGAGATTCAGGGATGAGCTGAATGTTGGGTACGGCTGGAAGTTTCTGGAGCACATGGCTTATAGCTCTTTCTATGCACACCAGTATGGCCGAGAGCCAGTGATGTGGTAAATAAGCAAGGTAGAACAAGAAAACGCCACAACTCCAAATGGAGCAGTTGTTTTGAGCCTTATCTTTCTGTTTGTCTCCTGAAATTTCCCAGAGCATAAACACTGAGCTGATCCAATATTAATTAATTTATATTATCTATTTCACTTACATCAGCTGAAAATTAAACGGCAATTTAAAAGGATAATATAATCAAGCATGAAGACTCATCCAATAATCACAAAAACCCTGTGAGGTCAGATCAAATGGCTGGCGCTTATGGAAAAAGCCCTCTACGAAATTGAGCTGAAATTCAGTAAGGCCTGCTATCGCCATTAGAACAAAACGCACAGCATTCCAAACAACCACGCTCCAAGCCACTCCCTAGGGTGGTTACTGCAACAATGGGAGGGGGTTTCAAGAAGTTCACGGAAAATTGGGACCAGGAGACGATGGGATTTTTTTACGGACTTTTTGAAGCTTCCTCATATGGACTGGATCGTCAGGCTACAGAGCATTTGGACGTCAGAACATTAGGAGACCCGATTTCCCAATTTGCTTCTGCTCAGCGGATCTTACCCCTAGACATGACACACACATGAAGCATGTGATTCAGAAAGGCTGTCCCTGTACAACATGAGAAGAGTCTGCTACTCTGGGACGGGAATATCAGCAGGCCATGACAAGGCGCCTTTTCAAAGTGGCTAGGCGCACTTACCAAGGTGTCTCCACCATGTGGCCCGACAGTGCTG